TCACTAGGGCCACTGGGAAGCCCAGTGAGTACATATATGGGTCTTATTTTCTTATTCATTTAGTCACTCTATTTTTTCATTTGCTAGTATATTCTATTTATATTTAAAATGATTATTCATATGTATGCTCTTAATGCCATTTTGTTTATTATTGGGGTTTTTTTTATTTCTTTTAAAAATTCCTTTTTTTGTTTTTGTCTTCTCTTGTGAGTTGTTGACTGTCTAGTATCGTGTTTGGATCCTTCTCTTGTCTCCTTTTCTGTGGCATTTATCATTTTGGTTTGTGACTACCATGACATTTAAATATAACTAACTCTCTACATACACAAGGTATCAACTTATCAATTATCTGTATCTTCATATATCTTATTTATCTCATGGTTTCTTCTTTATATATTCAGTTTCTTCAGCTGTGGAAAATCTTCAGATGATGATGCTAATCAATAGTTGCTCTGTCAATAGCTATAATTTAGGTGTGCCCAAGGGAGGAGGTGAGCTCAGTGTTCTACTCTGTCAACTTGGCCACTTCCTGCCCACACATAGAAGCAAATATCATTGATTAAAGAGCGTTTATTTATTTTTGTTGTTGTTGATGTTCAGTGCTGGAAATTTCCCTGTAAGTGCTGCTTCACTATTTCCCACTAATTAATATGTTGTGTTTTATTTTCACTTTCTTAAAAATAATTTCTATATGTACTTTTTAATTTTGCTTATAAGGTATTTAGAAGTGTTTTAAGTAGTCTTTCAAATATTTGGGAATTTTTCCTAGATCTATTTTCTACTACTGGTTTCTATTGTAATTATCAACACTTGTGGGTCAGAAAATATACTTCCCATAGCTTGAATTATGTTAAAATTATTGAGTGTTTGTATGGCCCCACATATGATTTATTGGAATCAGGTTGTTCTCATTAATAGTTGTTCTGTAAACAGTTGCAATTTGGGGATGGCTATGGGAGGAGGTGTTCTACATTAAACAATTAGGCTAATTCATATCAATGTATGACAAAAACCACTATAATACTGTAAAGTAATTAGCCTCCAACTAATAAAAATAAATGAAAAAAAAACAATTAGGAAGTGAAAGATCTAATTTCAAAATGAGATTCTACCTTGAATTCCAGTGGCCCCTAAGTCACAGATTGATGTTCTATCATTCTGAGCAATAAGGGATAAAAGTCTATAAGCTTCTTAGGAATTGCTGGTTTAATATACAGTTTATTTCTTTCAATAGGAAATTATTAAGTCATTTAGCAACTTTTTCTTATCTTATCAGGCTATCTCCTCTGTGGACATGGAAGTTGGAAATTGCACTCTTACTGGGCTTCTCAACAGACCCCCAGTGGAAACTGACCCTATATGGAATATTTCTGATGCTTTATTTGATCACCTTGTCAGGTAACATGTCCTTAGTTATCTTAATCCATATTGATTATTGCCTGCGCACACCTATGTATTTTTTCATTGTCACTCACTCTTTCTTGGATTTCTGGTACACCTCTGTGTACACCCCCCAAATCCTGGTGACTTGTGTCTCAGAAGATAAGCACATGTCATTGACTGGATGTGGTGCCTAGTTTTTCTTTTCCTGTACTGTAACCTACACTGAGTGCTATCTTCTAGCAGCCATGGCCTATGACCACCACATGGCAATCTGTAACCCGCTACTTTATTCAAGTACTATGTCCACTTCTCTCTGTACTGGACTTGTTTGCTGGCTCCTACATAGGAGGGTTCTTGAATGCTATAGCACATTCTGACAACACTTTTCGCCTGAGCTTCCGTGGCAAAAATAGTATTGACCACTATTTCTGTGATGTACCACCATTGGTGAAAATGTCTTGTACAGACACCAAGGTCTATTAACAGGTCCTCCTGGGTCTTGTGGGTTTCACAGTCCTCTCCAACTTTCTTGCCATGCTGATATCCTATTTCAACATCCTTCTAGCTATTCTGAGGATCTGCACAGCTTCAGGAAAACACAAAGCCTTCTCCACCTGTGCGTCACACCTGGTCTTGGTCATGCTCTTCTACAGATCCTTGCTGTTCACATATTCAAGGCCAAGTTCCACCTACTCCCTGGGGAAGGACAAAGTGACATCTCTGTTTTATACTGTGGTCAATCCATTGCTCAATACTCTTATCTACAGCTTGAGAAACAAAGATGTTAAAGTGGCCTTCTGGAAAGCAATACAGACTATAAGACCTCAGAGATGAAGGTGATCTTTTTGCAGGATGGTTTCATTGCATTTTCCAAATTATTGCTTTATAAACATGCTTGTGCACATTGCCATATTCAAGTAAATACAACACATTTTGCTTAAAAGATGAATCATTGATTGAACCATTTTCTGTTGATTATTCTTTTGTTGTGATTAAACTTTTAAAACTAATATTGAGTTGTTTGATGCTCTATAATATTGCATCCTGCTACTTTGCAGTACTTGATTTCCATAAAACTCATCCTCTTTTAATTTCAGGGGAGCTCTTTGAAAAAGAAAGTGAATGTGGATGGCTTTCAAATACATAGTTTGAATCTTGGTGAGCAAACTATTGGTTAAGAAGTAGATTTAAAATTGTGAAAAAGCTGGAAACAAAGTTTGACAAATATTTGTTTTTATTAAGACATTCTTCCAAACTCCCTCATCAAACTCTGACTGAGTATATTGATTACTTCTTTGTCATCCTTGTGCCTCCAACTTCTATGAAATATTAAGCAAAGTGTTTGAATTGTTTATACTATGAAGAAAACACTTTTCTAAATATAGAGAAATATATATTATTAGGATTACATAACACCTTAAATGTGATCTCTTCCAGATAGAATGCATAGTCTGCCATGTCATCCATTAGATCATGAACTGCATATTCTCCATGGAGGAACATAACAACATCAAATGGAACAAATAGAAAGAAAAAGACAAAAACAAAACAAAAAAACAAAGACCCAACAAATTAAAGTGATGCTGTATTCTAGATTCAGTCTGTTCCAACCCTCACAGATACTGATGGAATTTTTTAATTACCTAGGACTTTACAGGTCAATATTTAGTACAAGGCAGGTTTAGTTATTTCTTTCCCCTGATTTGCTTGTAATATATAGCTCTTTTTGAAAACTGATTTTGCATTTTTTACTTACTATTTTTAAAAGTTCACTGTAAGCAATAATAACCTCCATTGCTTTTGGAAGAGTACTGATCCTTTTGCTGTCATCAATATTCATAACAATGGTAATGAACAATAACTCCCCTGATACTCTTGTTGTTCACAATCTGATGTTATATATTTGACTCTCAAAAATAGTTTCATGCCTATAAAAACAGTTTATAGAAACTGTAATCTATAAAGCTAATGTTTGAAAACATACGAATTCATTTGTTGTAGATGGTCCTTCAAGATATGTTTTAATTTCCACATATATGCATAAATGATAGCTAGGCAAGTGCAAAACAATGAATCCATGATTCTAATCTGGAATTATAAGCTTCTGACACAGGTGATTAAACTAAAAACTTATCCTTTTATGCCGCCCAAAAATTTTTGTAATTTGTATTAAGCAGTTTACATTTTACCTTTAAAAAGAAGGTAAATTCAAATCAGGCTACCATCCCCAAATGTGAATTTGCATGACAAGGGAAAGCTAAATGCTTGGTAGTATCTACCTCTGGTTATTACTCTAAAAGTGAGCACATCCTGGTGTTGGTTCTGTCTCTGTTTGACTTGTCTACCTCCTGTCAAGTCTATTCAGCAAGAAGCTTTTGAAATACTCTGAACATTGTATGTATAGATTCTATACTATATATGAGATAATTGGCTAGTGGGAAATTTCTAGAGATTTCTCCATCATCTAGAGATTAGATGGAGAAAGAAGGAAGTAAACCAGAAGAAAGCAGAGGAAAGAATTTCTTATGAAAAAAAGTTAAAACCATTCATTGACAAACATTTAACATTTGAAAATTTCAGGTCAACTTTACTTAATTTATAATAATTTTAGTAATTATTTTCTTTTAACCTTTTGACCACCTGGAAATGACTAATTAAAAACATAATCTTTACAACAACACTGCAAATTACAAAATATTGGTTACATTTGACAAATGAGTAGTTTGCACCTCGAAAGTTACAATTTTCTGTTGAAAGAGTGTAGCTATTGTCATAATGGGCATATTTATAAATTACAGTTAAATAAATGTTTCAGAACCAATAGTTGAGGCCAATTCATTATTTGTACTAGCTCTGATATTTCTGATTTTTCTTTTCATCTGTGTTTATTGTCTAATACCTCATTGCCTTCTCTTTCCATCACAAAATTCTTCACTGTCATTACTCTTTCATTACCACAGAAGCATTGTATCAGACAAGAATAATTTGGGATATATTCCACAAATGTCAAGAATCCATTTAATGGTTTTTTCACAATCCCTTAATGCTCATCAAGTAGGTGGAAAATGGGTCTATCCCACAGAGATAGTAAAATTTAATCATTTGGAATTCCAGAAGTGATATATACTCTTGTATTGCATTAAATTTTGATATCATTTTTTTAAAGTTATATTAAGTTGAATTTATTAAGTTGTAGAAGAGATTATAGCAGAACTATTAAACAAAACAAGTGAATGCAAGGAAAAATACTTTTTTAAATTGAATTTGAGTAGAGAAACAAGTGGTTTTTTTTTTTAATATTTCTCCCCAAACGTCCCCTGAAGCAGTCTGTTTTCACTGAGCAATGTTTCAAAAATTTTATGTCAGTTTAGACTTCAGATTATGTGAACCTGAATAGTTTTTTCAGAGCATCTTTGACATCTTTATTCCTCAGATCATGAGGTTCAACATGAGGAACACCACGGTGTAAAATGTAGGCACCATCTTGTCCCTCTCAAGGGAATAGCTGGAACTTGGAAGGGAGTAGATGTAGAGAATGGAGCCATAGTACAGGTGACAGAGATCATGTGGGAGGAGCAGGTGGAGAAGGCTTTGAGGCGGCCCTGGGTGGAGTGAATTCACAAGATGGCAGCAATGATGAAGGCGTAGGAAGCTAGGATGAGCATAGTCGGGGTGATGACGCTGGAGGCAAGGAGGAAGTACAACACATCCCGATACGTCTCTTGCACATCACAAGCCAATTTCACGAGAGGTGGAACATCACAGAAAAAGTCATCAATAACATTATCACCACAAAAATTCAAAGTGAACGTGTTGCTGGTGAGTATTATTGCATTGACAAAACCCCCAGTATGGGAATATATAACCAAACAGATACAGAGTCTCCTGGACATGACCTGAGCATAGAGCAGGGGACTGGAAATGGCCGCATAGCGGTCATAATCCATGGCAACCTGCAGGCAGCACTCACTGGAGGCCAGCGACGCAGAGAAGAACTGGACCACACAGCCAGTGAAAGAGATGCTTTTGTCTTCAGAGATGCAGGTCACTAGAATCTTTGGGATATACACAGAGGAGTACCAGAGATCCAGAAAAGACAGATTCCCAGTGAAAAAATACATGGGTGTGTGCAAGCAGGAGTCATTACCGATCAACACCATAAGAGTGATATTTCCTACTAGGGTCACAGAGTAGACACCAAGGAATACCACAAACAGGACCAGCTGCATCTTGGGGTCTGTTGTGAATCCCACAGAGATGAACTCAGTCACGGTATGATTATTCCTCTCCATGGTTTAAAGAGACCTCACCTACAAATGAAGAAATCAAGTGTTCAATTACCTCAACCCACACCAAAGGAGGGCATTCTCTTACAGAAACCTATGAAATATGGTCAAGACTATGGTTATTAAAGTAAGGAAGAGCTGAATAGGAATCTTTACTTATTTGGGAAGATGAGGTAAGTTTTCTGAGCCTCAACATATTTATTTCAACAGAGTGACTTTAATAATAGAAAGCCTTAATGCTGTTTGTGGCTTTACTCATTTATTAGGAAAATATTTCTTGAGTCCTTGGGGCTGTCTGGGCATTAGGATACAGTAGTGAAGCTAACAGCGCTGACTTTATTCTGTGGAGGCTTTATTTAGAAAGGAGAGATACATAGGTAATGCAGGGATAAAGAATCTGCCTGCCAATGATGGAGCTGCCGGAGATGCAGATTTGATCCCTGAGTCAGGAAGATACCCTGGAGGAGGAAATGGTGACCCACTCCAGCATTCTTGCTTGGAAAATCACATGGACAGAAGGGCCTGGCAGACTACAGTCCATGGGGTCACAAAGAGTCAGACACAACTTAGTGACTGAGCATGTACACACTACACAAGTAAACAAATAAGAAATACTTTCATTTAATGATAGATGATTTTGAGAAAAAAACTGAATGATTTGATGAAGAGGAACTGGGAGAGGAGCTAATTTAGTTTTTGCACTGAAAGAAAAAAAAATCTGTATTCTATTTCCCAGCTACAAATAAACAAGTTGTTCAATGCTCATGAGACATGATAAAGTCCCCCTGGTTTAGGAGGGAGTGAAATATGAAGTGTGGTAGGTATTGCCACCCCCAAATATACCACTTTGACAGAAGAATTATTTCATTAGCATTAAAAAAAAAGCAGAAACCTAAGGAACACTCTGATATCCCCTTCTCTTACTGAAAGCAGGAGATAAAACTCATGTGAGAACTGAATTCTCAATACCTGTATTGTGTGCTCAGTTGTGCCTGACTCTTTACGACCCCATGGACTGTAGCCCACCAGTCTCCCCTGTCTATGGGATTCTCCAGTTTATTTTACATTTTTTCCCCATTTCTTGTCATTTTTTGGTAATATTGATTGCTCTTTTCTGTCTCTAATAATGAGAAATGCTACTTTTTCTTGTGAACTCTGAGCAGTTTCAGAAACTGCAATAGGAAGATGGTGAGATATTTGAAAAGAGGCCCTCTTACTAGCACATATATGTCTTAGGATTTATATAATCTTAGGATTGGTTGGAGGAACAAGTAAAATTTTCCATCTAATTCTAATATCTCAGTTAGATAACTTACCTAAAATTCTCAGCCTATCATCACCTCAACAGAGTTCAAGCCTAACTGTTTCAGAATCCTCTATATTAGTTTCTGAATCCCCAGGATTATAGATTCGGTGATCCCTTAGGTTTTCATGGTCATGGGACATGACTAACAAGACAATTAAATAAAATTGTGTGTTAACAAATTGGGCATTATTCAATGATGAAGTTTTTTTTTTTAAGACTACAATTCTTAGCTGAAATATAATCAATCAGAATTTTCATTCTCATTCTCTCCAGTTGTATAGAAGCCAATATAGATATATGTGACATTTATTAAGTATACTATATATTCATATGTGTATATTTGGATATTAAACACATATGTTCAATGATACTGATATCTTTATTGTCAGTTGAATAGCTTTCCTTTGTTCTTCCCATTCCTTTCTCTATACTTTTTTTTTTTCATTTATTTTTATTAATTGGAGGCTAATTTCTTTACAATATTGTAGTGGTTTTTGTCATACATTGACATGAATCAGCCATGGATTTACATGTATTCCCCATCCCAATCCCCCCTCCCACCTCCCTCTCCACCCAATTCCTCTGGGTCTTCCCAGTGCACCAGGCCCAAGCACTTGTCTCGTGCATCCAGCCTGAGCTGGTGATCTGTTTCACCCTAGATAATGACATTAAAAAGAATTCATTTGAATCAGTTCTAATGAGATGGATGAAACTGGAGCCCATTATACAGAGTGAAGTAAGCCAGAAAGATAAAGACCAATACAGTATACTAATGCGTATATATGGAATTTAGAAAGATGGTAACGATAACCCTATATGCAAAACAGAAAAAGAGACACAGATGTACAGAACAGAATTTTGGACCCTGTGGGAGAAGGCGAGGGTGGGATGTTTCGAGAGAACAGCATTGAAACATGTATATTCTCTATACTTTTAAACTCATCTTCTTTTCAGGATGCTCAGCTGCATAAACTCTATCCATGGGTCCCTTTCTCTCTGTTTACTTAATGGGTTTAGCCAGTGGCTGTAAATAGCGGGACAGCAAGTGAGGTCAGAGTGGTTTTCTCTTTCCTGTTTTTTGCAAAGATGCCACAGCTGGCTGCACCCCTGGACCTAGACCATGGAACCTGCCAGGTGACCCATTTCCCAGAACTCCCTTCAACTCATATGCTGTTGTTTGTCTTGCACCTTCAGGAATAGAAGAGATAACCACTCTCAGAAGCTATGAGTTCTAAAGTTATTAGTTTCTTGGGATGCAGTTGGAAATTATTACTGTAGTATGGTAAGTTGACTTTTGTTGAAAATTAAATCTGGACTGTTCAACAACAACAACAATAACAAAAAACCAAGAAGCCAGAAAGCCATATCTTAGTGTGTAACTCAGAGACAAGATGGATGCAATTTTCCAATACATCATAAACTCTAGATCTTAACCAAGTATTCTGTTGTTCATACACTCATGGCAGTGTCTCATGGGTCAGGAGATTCTTATGGAATGAAGTAGACTAGAAAACAACTGCAGTAATATTTCATTTTTACTTGGATAAAAATCAGCACAAAATATTCTAGTAGGCAAATACCATCTCATATAATTCTTTGACCTAAGCTACTTTACAGCCACTGAAACCTTAGACTTATGGGGAAGCATGAAACCTTTGATAAAGGAACTTGAAATTTAGCCAATATATGCTCTATACATATTCCTCCAGGCTTTCTTGTGGATGGCCAGAAACCACTTATGAGAACAATCCTACCCTGGGCAAAGGTAAGTAACCAGCTCTTCTATGGTTTATTGGATCCTGACTCTGAGCTAACACTAACCTTAAGTGATGGAAAAACACCCAAGGTACATACTTGCCAGTGGGTCTAATGGAAATAATTTAAATATAGCTTTGATCTGCTTTTTTCTTTCATTGGGTCTGAGACTAGATATATAGGTGATCATTATTTACCCATACTCAGAAATCATACTGGGTATAGATATACAGAATAAAACAGAATCCTCATCTTAGTTTCCTGCCCCTGATCTCTGGAAACAGTGTTATAATTATTGGAATTTTCAAGGTACAAAGGTACTCCCCCAATACATTCTTTACTCAGACAGTAAACAAAAAGCCATATTGCATCACTGGGGAAAAGTGCAAGGTTTAGTGTTTTTATAAAGACTTGAAAGATGCAGTGGTGAAAATCCCAATTTATCACTGTTAACTCCTCTGTCTGAGGGGAAAAGAATTGAAGATCTTCTAAGTGGAGATCATGAATGAACAACTTTTTACAGGTAGAGAAGTTGAAGAAAGGATGCAGGATTAATAACATTTATTTTGAGAAATAAAATTGAGGAAATCAGTTTGGAATAAAAATATATCTATATATCTCTTGAAACAATACAATTCAACAGCATCACACTAGAATTCAGTGGTTGTAGCCTTTGAGGGATACCCAATACATTGTGAGGTCATTAAATTTGCCAAGGAGGCTGAGAGACTGTCACATTTCATTGAATCTTCAAAGTTATAGACTAATCAGAAGCTGAAACTCCAATACTTTGGCCACCTGATGCAAAGAACCAACTCATTTGAAAAGAACTGATGCTGGGAAAGATTGAAGATAGGAGGAGAAGGGGACAACAAAGGATGAGATGGTTGGATGGCATCACTGATTCAATGGACATGAGTTTGAGTAAACTCTGGGTATTGGTGATGGACAGGGAGGCCTGGCATTCTGCAGTCCATTGGGTCACAAAGAGTCAGACACGACTGAGTGACTGAACTGAGTGCTCACCCATATGCACAGAACTCTAGCCATACATACATAAACTGGAGGCTCCACGAATGAGGTGGATGAAGTGACCTTCTTCCTGAGTCTTAATCAACCTCCTTCTCCCCACACCAGACTACATGTTCACAGGGCCCTTGTACAAAGTGGCCATAACAGTTGAAATGAGTTCAACATGGCCATCTTCTCACTAAGGCTAATTTGGTTAACATTATTGTGAGGTGTCAAAATGGGCAGAGGGGCCTGGCAGATCGCTATGGTCCATAGAGTCACAAAGAGTCAGACACAACTGAAGTGAGTTAGCATGCATGCATGAGGTGTCAACAAGCAAAAAAAAAAACAAAAAAACTTTTCTGAGAGGATTGGTAAACCACTGGGTAACAGGATGATTAGATTAGACAGCTTCCTACTAATCCAGAGCTGCAAAGGTAATGATTTTCCTCTCATAAATTATCACATACTGGGGGAATTATTTGCTTTATATTTCTTACTGGCTTTTTCTTGTTAGCATCTATAGATGTAGACAAAAATACTGCCTTTCTTATGACCATGGTATGCATCAAACATTTCCACTTCTAAGAGGTACATTCCATGGCAACCTCTTCCAATCCACAGAAATAATTGATTTTACTATTTATACCATTATTCAGAAGCAATTAGCCTGAGAAAGTCATGTCGTGGTTATATGAAAACTCGATCATGGTTGTTGAGGTATATTCGTGCTTTAAAACAGCAGTGAGTATATGACCTCATCTTCCCCTTATTAAGAAAGTGAACCAAGGAGATGAGGTGGGCATGGACCCGGTGGTGGCCAGGAAAATAAGCCTTTCAAAAATCCAAATGCAGACAGTATAATTGTCCA